TAAGCGGACAGGGGAAGTGACACCGGAGAGATGAAGGAGACCAGAGCCTGACCGCCCCTATGCCTTGCCTGCCAGGGCTGGTGGGCTTTTTCCCGCAGGGTGCATGACGGAGCTCCCGGGGGGCTTTCGACAAAGGCATTACACCATCAAATGTGTTCTTTAGGAAGACTGCTAGCTCGGACTGCGGGGTGGGACTGAATTGGGGATGGAGAAGACAGAAGGCAGGGCAGCTGCTCGGGAGACCCCCTCAGCATTGCTGGTGCGGTGAGGGGCCTGACTGGGGAGAGGAAGTCGGCAAGTGACAGCGGCCTGTGGCCCGACGCACACGGGAGGGATGGGCGGAATCCAGGCTTCTGTTGTGCGTAACGGGCAGAACTCAAGGAAGGAACACAAGCTGTGTCGCTTTGGGGGTGGATGAATTAGAGGGGCTGGGGGACGCTGGCCACAGGTGTGCTGCAGACAAAGACAGAGGGCTGGGCCGGAGACAGAGGTGGGGGCTGTGCGGAACGGCAGTCACCATCACAGCTGCCCAAGCTGACTGGCTGCCTTCCTCCACAAACGAATCTTGTCTCCTCCCCACCTGATCAGAGGGCCCTCTCCTCTTGGGCTCAGTGGCCCGGCCAGGGTGGACAGTCCCACGCTGCTGATCCCAGCGCCTGGCCCATCCCTCCCTCCCTTGTGCCGCTTCTTGCTCCCCACACAACGAAGTTCCCTTGCCATTTGCCACTCGACTGCCTCGGGGTGTTCTGGGCCCTGGCCTCCCCGACTCTGGCCTCCCCTTTGCGGCTCTCCAGGTGGACTCTGAGCTACCTGTGTCTGCACTAACTCCTGGGGGCCCCTCACACTTTAGAATCAAGGCGGTTCCATTCTGAGCGAGGCCTTCAGCTGGGGTGTGACTGATTTCTGGTGACTCGGATGCCCCTCCTGGGGACCCTGCCCTCCTTTCCTTCTGCCCCGGATTCTGGCTCCGATTTCCCCAGCTGTCCCCTCTGAGGGACTTGCCTTCCCTCCTGTGATGTGTGCAGTGGCTTCCCATCTCCAGCATGGTTTCCATTTGGTCCAGGTGCTCCCGACCCTCTCAATAAGTAGAGCCTGGGTGGAGCTGCTTCTGCCGGGTCTGAGCTCACGGGAGCCCCAGGGCACCCGCTTCTCCCTGCAGGCCCTGCAGCCTCTGGCTGGCCTGAGTCTCCTTCAGGTGGAAGGCCAGCCCTGGGAACCCTCTGGTGACTGATTTCTCATCTCTCCTCCCTCCCTTCACCTCTCTGCGGCCCACAGGAGCCGTTCTGGCCTCCCTCTGCCCAGGCCTACTGGCTCCTACATGTTCCCACTGATGGTCGGAGCAGGCCGTCCTGCCACCTCCACCTCCCTTCAGCTTTGCTCCAGACGCCATCCCTGCATGGGGACCCCAGACCCAGGGGGAAGCGGCGGGCAGGGTGGGGAGCTACCTGTGCACGGGCCACGGGGTCCTTCTTGATCCACCTGATGACAGTCTCATATACGAGCTCCTCGGCCTTGGTGTTGAGGCTGTCATTGGAAATGTAGGCGATGAAGTCATCCTTGGAGATGCTGAGGATCTCCTCCTGGGCCGCCACCTCAGGGAAGATCTGCAGCGCGAAGGCCTTGGCCATGTGGTAGAGCTCGCTGCACTGCATGGCCTCGGCCATGGCCAGTACCCCCAGGCAGTTGCTGGCCGTCAGCTGCTTCTCTGGGGGCAAGAGCACAGGACCACTGACCACAGGGCCCCGGAGGGGTGGCCCTCTCATCCTATCGCCTGACACTCTGGATCCCTCTCTGAGCCCATGTCCCTGTGACCTGCCTCCAGCATCCAGGGTCCCCACAAGACCGTTTCCGGTGTCCCTGGAGCTGTGGATCTACCCTCGGGGTTTTCCTCCGCCCCGTCTCACACTGCCTCCCCTGGGGCCTCCCTCTGCTCCTGCAGGTCCCAGCAGAAAGATGGAGAGTGTGAGGTATGGAGCATCAGTGCGGGGCTTGGAGCTTCCTCGTGGCTGTGGGCCTCAGAGTGTGGGCCTGGCCTGGGGGCAGGGGTCACGCAGAGACTGACCATGTCTTCTCTGTGACAGGCTCCCACTTTAGGGTCGCACCAGCAGCAGCGCCCCTCATATGCCCACCCGCCACCTCCCACGGGCCTCAGCCTCACCAACCTGGCCTCAAGGCCTGACAACAGTCTTGCCGGCTCTCCTGAGGTCTGGCTAATGGTTTTTCTAGCCTGGACGTGCCCGGGTCTCTGCCGGTGCCTACAGCTTTCCGAATTTTCCTCTTCAAACTGCCTTGTGAGATCCAGCGGCACCCTGAGGCGTACACACAGCCTTTCCCCCTCTAGATCCTGGCTATTTTCAAAGTCTGGGGCCCGTCGGCGCTATTCCCTCATGCGGCGACCCACGCGCCCCCACCCCGGACTCACCGAGAAAGGACACGCAGACTTTGCAGAAGGTGTGGAACTGGAACTTGCTGGCCGCCTCCAGCAGCGTCTTGGCATTGGCCGAGTCGATGACCAGGGAGCCCGTGTAGACGAACTCCAGCAGCAGCTCGAGGACGTCGGCCTGCAGGTTGGACAGGACGAGCTCCAGCTTCTCCCGGCCACACTGGCTGCCATCTTGCACCGACCTAGGCACAGAGACCAGGGTGTCCCTTACCTGCCCCACTGCGGCCACGGCGCCGCCTCCTCACAGGGCTAGATCTCCCTGCACGCCTCGGTCACGCCCTTCATTTTAGGACTCAAGGGACACAGCAATGACACACCTGAACCTAACGACCTGACACAGGATCTGAAAGAGAAGAGTCTGACCAGAGACGCCCAAAAGAACAGAAAACCCTGCTTATCACTACTTGGCATGTCCATGCAAAAAAAGATGCAAATCAAAAAGCATGAGCTGTGGATGGGGACGAGGACCCGGACTGGCCTCAAAGGGAAACAATACGGTTCCGCCCTGCGGTTGGCTCCCGCGTCTCGGCCACACGCGGCCAGCAGGTCCCGGCCCGGGGAGGGGGGCCCCCTGCCCCTGCTGCCTCCACAGTGGGGGGAGCCGCCCGTGTGACTGAGGCTCCCAACCGGCTGTGAACACAGCCAATCTGGAGATGCCCCTCGATCGCCCCAAGCTGTCCCAGAACCCTGAGTCCAACCCCACCTATTTCCCAAAACATATTGTTTCCTTTTAGGCATGGAAAGGAAGCCCTTCATGACATTGCTTTGAAACTGAGGACGAGACGAGATAGACGGACAGAATGGTTAGAGCTGGGGGGAGGGGAGGGGACAACCGAGGACTTCCGCCACAGATAGCCAGCAGCCATGACCTGGGACCTGGCCCGGGGTGGGGCCCTCTTGCCACATGGAGCACGGGGTCAGAGGTCAGAGTGGCCTGCATGTAGAGTGTGCATCGGGCTTGTGAACTGGGGGAGCAGGGGAGGGACACAAATATATAAATATGGTCGTATCTGGTGTCTACAGAAATACAAAACCATTGCAAAGGCTCCTAAGGCCTGGCAGCCGCGCCCTAAAGCTGGACCTGGAAGGAAACAGATAAGATGAAGCAAGAATCACACCGATACAGAAGTGACCAGGAGGAAAGACACCCAGAGCGTTAAGAGTCAGGAGGCAGGTTTTTCAGAGGTGATTGGCTTGGCACCCCATCTCCGCCACTCTGACCAGTCCTGCATGGAGCCTGCTCCTGCCCGAGCCTGGGCAATGACCTCTGCCAACTCTCCACTCCTGAGGAGGCCAGGGGACAAGACTGGTGACTTGTGGCTGGTCTCTCGGGCGCCCCTGTGGCTGGCACTGGGGGTGTGGAGGTGCCCAGAAGCTACAGCCCCCAAGAGAGGCTGACTCCTGTGTGGGCGGGGAGCTAGAGGACCTGCGTGCCCCAGCCCTGCCACTGACAGGCAGGCCACCTTGCCTCTTGGGCCCTCAGGCCCCTCTTCTGCAAAACAAGAGGATTGAACTGCATGAAGTCTAAGGCCCCATGGAGAGTTTATGTGATAGAGGCTGGAAAACACCTTGCCCAGGAGACTCTGCTCTACCCAACAGAACCTGAAATGCTCCCACGAGAGCACGTTCTCCACAGTCTGGCCACCAAGGGCTTTTAAAGCACCAATATGACGGGGCCAGGGAACAGAAGAAGCTGTGACTTCATTCAGGGCTCCCCTCCCCACAGAATGGCTCATGTCACCGGGGCCCACGGGGGCCCTGCCTCCAGGCTCGGAGGGAAAGCTGAGAGGGAACAGTGCTGGCTAAGCCGAGGGTCTGAGCAGAGCCCCTTCTCAAACCCATAGACATACACGGTGTGTGTGACTTTTCAAGTGACTTAACACATTGAGTCCTCTGCTGTCGGGATAGATTTTCATGCCTGGGTAACTTGGTTAAGTATAAAAATAGTTCATTATGTGATCACTTGAAAGCACAGAAATCTAACACCCCAGGCCTCAGGGGCCATCTGGTCCACCTCTTCCTCGGGCTTTGCCGTCTCTGCCTTCATTCCTACACGCTGCTGCCTGGCCTTTCCTCCTCCCGCCCTCCGTGCTCTGTGGAGGTCCCGCTAGGCCACGGCCAGGGCAGGGACTGTGGGCCAAAGTCAGGCTGCTCACATTCTCCCAAGGCCCCCCGGCCATTGCTGCCTCCACCTCGGGCCAGCCCTCCCGTCCACCTACGTTTCTTCAGCAGAGATCATCCAACTCAGTGAAGGGCTGGGGTGGACTTCAGCTGTGTGCGCACGCACACACACACACACACACACACACACGCTGGAGTGCATGTGACACATGACCCTGAGGACCCCCAGTATCGCCCTGTGGGGAGGGGTGTCGGGCAGATGGAAGGCCAGGGGAGCCCACGGCCCTGAGTGTGGAGTCGGATGGGATGTGTGTGGCTGTCCTTGTGGGAGATGCTTGTCCTGCCCGGAGTCTGAGCCAGGGAGAGGGTCCTGGGGACAGGGTGGTGACTGCATGGCCAAGGAGGGCAGGGACAACGTGAGGAGGCACATGGGGTGTCAACCACCCCAAGTGCTATCCAGGGTTGGCGAGGACCACTCCCCCTATGATGCACAGCTACAGCTGCTCCTTCAGGACCCCTGTGAGAGGCACCCAGGAAGGCTGGGGGCTGCTGGGCCAAGGACATTCAGGGAGTGGGTGGAGCCCCCTGCGGCCAGATGCCACGCTGCGGGCAGAATGACCATTCCCCTTGGTTATGGAGGAATACTTGGGAACGCGATGGAGGCTTTGTTGGGTGGCTGAGTTCAAGATCTGTAGGAGGTGAGGCCCCAGGCTGTGAGGTCTTATGTAGCTCATCTGCACATACATGTTCATTGTCCACACAGCTTTGGGGCCGAGGGAGGCTGGTGGTAACTCTCCATCACTGACCATCAGACGGTCTTGGGACTGGACCTCAGTGATCCTTAGGTCTCTTCCCTATGAGCAGGGATCCCCTGGGAGGCGCTGCCCATGATGGGTGGCCCTGGTCACTGATGACTTTTTGGTCCCTGTCCTAAGCTGGCTCTTGGGGTCCAAGCATCCTGTTCCACTTAGCAGCATGGAGCACTGGGAGCTGCTGGGCAGTCTGGGTCCTGACATGATCTTGGAGGGAGGTGAAGCAGGGCAGGAATGCACAGTGGTAGCCTTGTCAGGTTGGGCCATGAACCTAACACTGGGGGTGGGCGTGTGGGCCAGGCCAGTGCTGCCCAGCCCACACAGGACCCGTGGGTCTGTCCGGGCTCACCTTCTCACAGGGTATGGGACACAGCATTTGCTTGCCAGGCCTGGGTCAGTGGATGTGCCAGGAATGCCTCATCCCCAGTATTAGACCACGTGAGATCCCACCATCAGCAATTTGTTCACCTGGATCAGAGCCGCCCTCTCCAGACTTTAGTCCCTCATCTGCCCCTCACACACCTCAGTAATCAGATGCTTGCATTTTACAAGTTCGATCTGGAATAATGGGGGGCGGGAACCATGGAGCAGTAGTGGGTGGGGGGGCAGTCATGGAGCGGGTGGTGAATATGGATGGCATCCTGACCTGTTCAGGAGGATGACCCCACTCTTCCGATGTGATTCTCACCCCACTGCATGCATAGGAGCTCAGGCGTCAGGGCTCAAACACGGCACGCATGAGCCTCACTGGGTCCCAAGGACTTGCACAGCTCGGGCGGGCCCTGGCCCAACCGTGGTGATTTGGCGATGGGTCTGACTCACATTGTTCTGCTGGCCTTCGAGATGGGTGAGTCTCTCCTTTTATTATCTGGTCTTCCAGCCACACCTGTCTCTTCTACCAGGAAAGGGGGACGGTCAGACTGCCACCCACAAACGCCCAGCTTCACAGGGAGGGAGGGGAAAGGCAGCGTATGGCTTGCCTATTATCTTTTGGGCAACCCTACATCCAGGATCTGTGCCACTCAATTAGGTAGATCCCTTTGGCTTCCCCCAAAAGAATGATGGAGAAACCCAGAGCCTACACATGGGGCTTGTGAAAATCAACTTGGACAAATCAATATGTCCATCTATTTTCATTTACTATAAAAAGAGAATAGAGTTCAAATGTGTCATTGGCTCCAAAAGACTTGGTGGGATGGGGCTTTTGGCTGGAAGGTAGAATGCCGGGTCTCTGTCCCGTTTGCTGTGATGAGGGGGCAGCTCTCCTCTGGGGCGCGACATTTTCTCCCCCACCCAGGCGTGGGGGCCATGTTCAGAAGTTCGGGCAGGCAGGGCAGTAGCTCTGCTCTCTCTGAAGAACGAGCCCTGTCCTCTCTGAGGGGACCTGCAGCCTGCCCGGCCAGAGAGGGTAGCCATCCCTGAGGGCTCCTTGGCTCCTGGGGATAAGTGAAGGAACTTCCTCATGGCCTCCCAAAAGTCCAGGGCAGACCCAGGTCCTGCTCAGCGGGGTTGAGAAGTGACTCTGGACTTGGGAGGCTATAACCCCCAAACGCCACTAGCTCTAGTCTGCTCAAAATGTCCTTCCTCCTTCCTGAAGCCCGGGGCTCAGCCCACTCAATTGTGCTGGGGTCCCCCTCCAGCCTGGAGGCAGGCGGGGTTCAGTGATGGTGTGGCGTTGTCCCTCCCACCGTCCGAAGACAAAGCCACGGCTCGTCTCCCTGCTGCGCTTTCAGCCCTGATTGTCACAGGGGCTCAGATGGGGCGACAAAGGGGAGGTGAGGAAGCCCAGGGGTCTCAGCACGGCTCTGCCCTTCCCGATGGCCTCCCGAGCCTCCTCCGTGCTCCTCACTCCAGAGGACCATGGGTAAGAGGGCAAGTGGCCTCAGCCTAGGGACCTGTTTCAGGTGGGAATTGTGTCTCCTCTTGGGCAGATCCAGTGGCCAGTTTACGAGTGTTTCCAACAGATACACAAGGCGCACGTGCACACACACTCAAACTCTGCATCCTTTTTCTTCGCCTTTCTGTCCACACTGTCAACCCTGAGTTTCACTTTCTTTCCGTATAGACTTCATGCACAAATAAAGACTACCTTTTTGTTCTTCTCTGGGTTAGCAAATGGATGGTAAGAGCACGAGCTTAGGAGTCAGACCTCAATTCCCATCCCAGACTTACTGGTTACTTAAAACCCTCTGGGCCTCAGTTTCTTCATCTGTAAAGTGGGGATACTAATGCTACCTGCTTCTCAGGGTTAGTGGGAGGATTTTCAGGATGACGTTAGACGTTTCTACAAGTCTCCTTGTGGGCTGGGTCTTGACCCCATCAGGGGAAAAAGACAAGAGTTTGAAACGAAATAAGGGAAGGCTATGGAGAGAAGCTGTTGCGGCCACACACACGTGAGGACAGAGTGTGTGGATGGAGCGGGGGTCGGCCTGGGGCCCGGTGAACAGGCGCTGCGGGCAGGACGTCTGCCTGGCCCCAGGGCTCACGGGCAGCTGAGCTGGTCAGGAGAGGACACCGTGAGACCGGACTCTCCCGCTCACGGCCTGACTGTCGTCCTTATGAAACACACATCTGACCACAGCACCTCCAGGCTGAAAGCAAAGCCCCGCGGGCTGGCTCTGGCCTTCTGTGCTGGCCTCCTTCCCTGCATCGCCACCTTGTGCCTGGCCACCCGGTGACACTGAATCACGTGCTGGGCCTTGACACCCCTGCTGTCCCTGACTGCCCCTCTTCCCACAGTCAGGCGTTCTGCCTGGGGGCCTCTAAACCCCATTTCTGTGCTCAGCCTGCTCCCCCGCTCCTACTTCTTTACTGTTCCCCTCATCAGGGTGTGGCCTTCCTCAGGGCAGAGACCCGTCTCTTTGAGGGTTTCCTGTGGGAGGGGGCTCCTGTTTGTGTGCTGAGCTAAAAGGACTGAATGATTTGATTTCCCCACGTCTGTCCTGTGGTGCCAGATGAGGGTGTTCACACCGGGGGTGTGGCGGGGGGCTGGAGTGGTGACCCCGTGACCGGCCCCAGGATGCAGGTGGACAGGAGTCCCGCCTGAGCCCCCAGGTCTGCGGGTCCTGGGACGGCAGTGGGTCACCTGCCCTGACAGTGCTCACAGAGGCCCTCAGGAAAGGAAGGACCAGGACACAGACTGTCCCTCCTCCCTCTGGTTCTTTAGTGCAGCCACCGGAGAGGGAAGCCCCTGCTTCGGGTTCAGTTCTCCTGCCGGGCCACCCCGGCCGCTGCACACTGTCCCCAGGGTCGCAGCCCGAAACGACAGGGCAACCACATCAGCTGCTCCCTGACCACTGAGACTGAAATTTTCCAGGATTTTACTCGGCCCAGAAAGGAAATCACCTTTCTGCAGAGTCTGCTTTCCTCCCCACAGGAGGAATTTGTTTGCAGCTATGGGCAGAAATGGTGAGGGACGCCAAGGTTAAGATGAGGGAAGTAAAATTTAAAACGGCCGCAAATTAACATTGTGACCTTTGCCCACAGGGGCGCCTCTGGGCTCGGCTTCGGCCTTCCCTCCTCCCTGAGTGACCCTCCTGTACGCTGAAGGGGTCTCCCCAGACCTCAGACCTCTGCGTTCAGATCTTTCATCTATCTGGCTGCCTTGCAGGGATCTCCACTGCGGCATCCTTCAGCCGCTAAAACCTGCCATGCCAGACGCTCGATTCACCCACCGCCCCCAGCTCTGCCCTGACACTGGTCCGCGGACCTGCCTTCCACCCCGTGACCTCACTGTTCTCACATCCTGGGGCTTGCACACGGGAAGCCTCTGCAGGGCTGGCTGTGCCCATCCCCTTACCGCCACCCTGGGATGTAGGAGCTGAAGGAAACCTGGATGTCGTTTGAACCAACCTCCTGTTTTACAGATGAGAAAACTTGAGGCCTACGAGAGAGGACGTGACTTGCCTGGGGTCATAGGACAAGTGGCAGAGTCAGGTGTAGAACCCAGGTCTCTTAGCTCCCAGGGGGGTGCCCTCTCCCTTCTAGGGACCGCCTCTTAGCTCCAGTGCCCATCATTTCTGGTTAGGGCCACTGAGGCACATCTTACAGTTCTTTCACCTTCAGGTGGACATCCCTTTCCCACTGCTCCTGATGGCCCCCACATCCTCAGACCAAGCCCAGGGCCCTAGCCCAGGGGTCGGGCTTGCCCGCCCATCTCACCCCAGCTCACACCCATCTCTGGGAAGGCTATCTTCCCCTCCACACTGCTTAGGATGGCCTCTTTCCCAGCTTTTCATTCCAGGCAACCCATGCCTTGTCTGGAGCATTCTAGAACATTCCAGAACATTCCTTGTCTTCCAGAACATTCCAGGCAACCCACCCTTTGCCTGGAATGTTCTTCCTCCTTCTTTTGGGGCCTAAGAAGCCTTCACTACTTTGGGTTCCCACCAAGTGGTGTCCTTTGTTGTGTATGAGAGTTTGGCTTTATGTGTAAGGTCTCTAAAGACAGTCAAATGGCTCCTGTGCTCCTCTTGCCCACATCTCTCTAGCTGAGGGCTGGGCCATCACTTAGTACCAACCTGCCCCTGCATCCTGCCCGCTCTGTGCTCTCCAGCTGGTCTGTAGCAGGGACCAAGGCCCTAAGATGCCGGTCACTGCCAGTACCAGAATTTGCCAAGAGTGGCAGCACAAAGACCTCCCTTGGCCTGAAGAAGCCACTGGACGTGCCCCTTTACCCCAGAGCTCATGCCCCTGACCCCTGTGCTCGGACAGAGAGAACCCAAGCACTGGGGGCGGGAGACCCAAGCTGTCCATGAGACTGGAAGTCACAAAGAGCCTGCCCCTTCCTGCATGGCTGGGGCCAGCGCGGCTGGGTGGGGCTTGCACGCCGGGCAGCTCAGCTCTAAGTGAAAGGACACAACAGATTGGAAAGGAGATGCCAGCCAGTGTGCCATCCTGAAACAAAACACAGTCACTCTGGGGTTAGTTGGCAAGTCCAAACACAGCATTGGGAAGCAAGCAGAGGTCCTGTCCTCCCACTCTGAGCCCAGTCCCGGCTCAGCGTCCGCCCCGGAGAGGCTGCAAGGCAAAATGAGCAGCGGCATTAATCTGCTGATGGGTGAGAGAAACAGGAGCGTTACCCTGGGCCGGCCCCCTCCGCTGCTCTCCCTCGCTAAGGAGCTAGAAGGTGGCCCCTGACTTCTTTGCGAGGGCATGAAGCAGACAAATTAAAAAAAATCAACATAATGGAAAAAAAAAAAAAAAGATGCTCATGCACCATTAAAACTCATTCAGGTAGAAATAGCCGGGGCGGAGGGCAGAGGGGGCGGGGAGCAAAGGCTGAGAGAGACCGTGTTTAGGACACACCTGGTCTGTGCTCAGACAACACCCATTTAGGCTCAGTGCACAAATATCAAGGCGTGCAGCGTGAATGAGGATTTGGCTACAAGTCTCTTCTCCCCGACTCCAGCTGTGGAAAAGCGGCACCGTGGGCACCTTGTGCTCCTCAGCAGGGGGACAGTCTGGTCGATGTGCTTTCCTGGCATTAAGGTCACCATCGACAGCAGTGATGGTGGTGCCTGGGACCCTGTGCTGAACCAGTGGGGACAGTGTGCGGGGGTTCCTTAAAGTGGAGTCCACAGCCCTCCTAATCTCACAGAGGGCTTGTGAGCCACTGAGAACTCGGGATCCTCGGGGCAGGGCAGGGGTGTTGTCTATGGATGGCAGAGGCCCCTGGTGACCAGCAAAGCTGCGTGGGGGCGGGCTGGGGGCCGTGGCTGCTCTGAGGCTGCGTGTGAGAGGGCACTCGGGGGCGGGGTGGGGGGGGAGGAGAGATGGCTACTGGCTCTGTGACAGGGAGTCACGCTTCAGGAACCTGCAAGAGAGGGGAGGAGAAAAGCGACACAAAAGCGTCCTACAAAGGAACAGACCCGACCACAGCTGGAAGGAAGGCAAACCTTTGAATCAGGTCCTTGAAATACAAGCTGCAGGAAGCTAGAACATTTTGGTGGACTTCAAACTCTCTGCCTTCAACAACAATTTTCAGGTCTGTAAACGCTTTCGCTCTGCGCTGCTGGTTCAATTCCTTCAACATTTCTGCAGAACAGAGAAGACAGACAGGGCCAGGTTCCCATTAAGAGTTTTTTTTTTTTTAATTAAAATTTTTTCTTTTCAAGAAGTAGAGAAATAGGAAAATACTTGATACTGTTTCTTGGCAAGACTGGCTCAACACTGACAGTCAAAAGAAGTCACAAACAATGCGTAAACAAGCAGCAACTGGGAGGGGCTACAGAACCAAAGGAATAACAACTTTCAAAAGCAAAAACAAAAAAACAAAAAAACCCGACAAAAACCAAAAAACCAAAGAAACAAGCAAAAAACCCCAAACCAAAACAATACAATACAAAAAAATATATATATATATATCTCAAACCCAGAAATTGAAAGGCTGGGGGAAAAGACTCCCACACTGACAATTGGAAACACAGAGAATACATTATCACAGACAACTAAAAACTGTCGTATAACTACAGAACGAGTTCTCCAAATGCCAATGAGGGCTGATGTATTGGATACCAAGTAAAGCATGGCATTGTGATGTACGATGGGCTGGATATGGTTCAAAGGAATAAAAACCACAAAACCTGCAAGAACAGCGTCCCTTATGTTAGACACTCAAGCCGTGGCACAGGGTGAGCTTCCTAGAGAGGGGCCCCAAGGAAGGAGGGGGTGCAACCGGGGCTGCAGAGCCCTTCCTTCCATTGCACACTTCCAGGACTGTCGGGAGGGCTGACAGGAAGCGGGGGGCGGGGTGCACCTCCTCCCGTTTCCTTGGGTCGTTCTCTCCGGACTCCCGCCCGCAGCTGGGGCTTCGCCATGGGAGGGGTGCCCCCCAAGTGGCCTCTGGGGCCTTCCCACCCTGATGCACACCTACCTTTGCCTGGTGTCTTGGCCACTTGGGGCCGGCACAGACAGTGTCCCATGCCCGTGGGCTCCAAACCTGGGATGTCTCCTAGACCCCGCTCAGGGCTCAGAACGGGGAAGGAGGAGAGCCTGACAGCTACCCTGATTCGCTGATAGAAACTCTCATTTGCGAAAGTTAGGGCCTTCCGATAACCAGTGCTCCCACTAGCTTCGCCTTGTCTGCCTGCCCCCAGCGGACTCCCTACTTGCTGGTTGCTGGACATCAGAGGCCCAGATTCTTGGCCAGAATGACCTAGACTATTGTTAGGCAGGGCTATGTCCTTCAGCAGGTGAATGGGAGAGGGTGGTCAGCAGAACTGAGCCCTGCTTCCAAGCCCCCCACCGTCATCCTGAGCCCTCAGGTCTATGCTGCACCCGGGCTGGCTGGTGTTCTGGAATCACCCTCCAGCATGCCCTGCTCCAGCCTGACCTGTCGTCTCTGTCCACATGGGCCGACACTGGCTGCCTGTCAGGACTCCCTCCTGAGCCCAGCTCCGCCTCTGACACCTGTATGTCCTCGGACAAGCCCCTGTGCTCTCTGAGCCTCTGTCTCTACATCTGCAAAATGAAGCTGGAGGCTCCCGCTCTATTCCCAGAGCCTGGTGAAAATCCCTGATTCAGGCTCAGGGATGGGCAGGGGCTTGCAGGCTTTGAGGTCAGGCAGGTCCATCTTTGCGAGGACATACCGGGCTCTGGTTCTGCTGAAGACCAAGGCAGACAGGGAGAAAAGGGGTCTGAGTTGTGTGGGCAGAGCTGAATCATTGACCACACCACCAACCCCACATCAGGCTGAGCTGGAGTCGCGGCAGGGCACCTGCAGGGGTGTGTGGAGGGCACTGGCTGGGGCTTCCAGAAGGACGAGGGAGACCAGCAGGGCCTGAAGCACTAGGTGGAGGTTGTGGAGGGCACCTGTGAGGCAGATAGGGAACAAAGCAACGAGATGGGGCAGCAGGTGAGGTCAGACCTGAAGAGCCTTGCAAGCGGGCTCCAGCTCAGTCTTCTGGGCACCAGGGAACCATGGGATTCTGCTCAGGGGAGTGACTGGCTTGGACCTGGTTGCCAGACAAATCGCCCTAGCAGCCCCGTTAGCGGCAGGCCAGGAGGAACGGTGGAGGTTGGAGGCTGGAGGCCAGGAGGGAGGTGGGGGAGCACTGGGCCTCAGAGCCAGGCCTGGGGGAGAACCTGAACTCTGCCTCCTATCAGCTGTGTGACCTTGGGAAAGTGTCCCAGAAGCCTCAGTTTCTCCTTCGTTGAAGTTAAATGAGCTAGCCCATGATAAACTGTTAGCCGTGGGCCTCAGCAGGTGGCAGGCATGATGTCATTGTCGATGGTGGTGACAGCTCCATGATCTAAGTGAGAAGGGACAAAGGCCTGAGCGACAATGGGGACGGAGGACAGAGGAAGACAAGTATTTAGGCTGGGAAGTTGCAGCCCTCGGTGCTGGAGGGAAGGCGGAGGCCGGCAGGTGCGAGGACCACTTCCAGGCTTCTGGAGGGATGCCGGGAAGGGAGGGGGTGGTGAGTTCAGTTTGGGGTTGGGGTTCGGGCCTGTGGGACGGTTTGGGGGGAGAGTGCAGGAGGCCGTGGCTGGGGCCTGGGCGGGAGGCGAGGCGGTGGTACCTGGAGCCTGAGGGTGTGGCTTGGGGGTGGGGGGGGTACGACGCGGTGGGGGAGCCCGCAGGGTCGGTCTGGGTTAAGGCTCAACTGCTTGCTACGCTCACACAGCAGCTCCAAGAAGAGCCACCAACTGAATTCGTTCCCCGAAACAGGAGCCAGGTGGTGATGTCAGCTTTTTGAGTGAAGTCACGTGGGGGTGAAAGAGTTCTGGGCTGGAATTCCAAAGCCTGGGATCCTGGCTCTCGTTGCAGCTTTGCCACTCATTGGCTATGTGACCCTGGGCAAGCTGCCCCAGCTTTAGGTGCTCAGTCCCTTCAGGCACCGAGAGGCACTTGCTCCGTTGCCTCCCAGCTGTCAGGCTGCAGTGAGGGATGGACGCAGCCCCGCAGGCTTGCTGAGTTAACCATGCCCAGGGGGCCAGGAGAACGCAGCAGTTACAAACTACCACTCCTCCTGGGCCCAAAGCACTCTCTTTTTGAAAGCTCCGACTTCCAACCAAGGTCCCAGCAAAGATTCCATTTGCAGCCCCAGCCCCGCAGCGCCGCCTGCTGTCCTGGGAATTCTGGCCGGATGGTGGGGGACGGGGGGCGCTTGGAGGTCCAGGTCACCATCTAAATGCAAGCGCTTTCTACTCTCACTTTGCGGAAATCTGGATTTAATAGCTGGGCAGGATTACTCTGTTTCGGAAAAAAATTTTCAATTTATGAAAGTGCTCACCAGGGGATTCCTTTTCACAGCAGGGCCCCAAGCGCATTCCAAGTATTGATCAGGCGGTATGTGCTTATTCCTGCCGGCTGAGCGCCCAGCCGGAGAGAGCCCGGGTTTCGGGACAGCACGATCCCTGATCCACGGGAGGAAGCCAGCACTGGCTCCAGGCACAAGCTGCCCTCCTGCTTAGGCCCTTGCCTCGGCTGAGGACAACCACTTAATGTGTGAGGGGCTCGGGGAACGTGGGGTCCTGGGAAAGCTTTCCAACCAGCTGTGCTTTGCCCAGTTGGGGCAGTTTGCGGGTGTCGGGGCGGGGGCTGGCAGGGGCTGGGCCTTTGGGGTAGACCCCAGTAGCACCCCAGCACCCTGCAGAATCTGGCTGCTTCAGGCTTGTGGAGGAGGGGCAAGTCTGGACCTCAGGGTCCTTCCTTGCTGGCTGACATCAGGGAACTGTTTTCTAGCCTCCCGGGTTTTGGGTGGGATGCCCCACCTGTGTCTGCAGGACCCCTCGCCCTTGCCTGGCCACACAGCGGCTGTGCTTTGCCCTTGGCCTTGCCCCTCAGTGGGGAACCCTCTGCTGCCAGACTGCTGGGCTGAAAGCACAGGTCCAGGTCACCGCATCTCCCCCTTGAATCCTCTCCTTCCCACACCAAGCCCGCCTCTTTTACCGCCTAGAAATCTCTGCTGTCCATTCTCTCCTGGTCTCAGGAACACCTGGGCTCTGTCTGAGCCACCACCCTCTTTCTCCTGAGTCAGGGGCAGCAGGCTCTGAGGATGTCTGGCTCTTTCTGGCCCTAAGCCATCCAGCAACCCAGCAACCCCTCCCTGTTTAAATAAACCCCTCAAGGATGAGCAGGGGAAGCAAGACTCCCCCACTTCCCACTGAAGCCTCCCTGTGCCCCAGGCATGTCCCTTCTCCCTGCCCTCTGTCCCAATCTCTCTTCCTTCCTTCTTCTGGCTAATTACCATTTTGTCCTGCAGTACCAGTTAAGGTGTTACTGTGTCCCAAGCCTCTGCCTCCTCCCCTTCCTCCTCCCACATCCCCTGGCTCTTCACCCTCCTCCCTGCTCCCACAGCATCCCATGCTTATTTCTTTAGAGCACACTGTGCATTGTAATTACTTATTTACGTGTATGTCTCCTGCACTTGACTGTGATTTATTTGTATTTTTATCTTCAACATCTAGCACAGGGCCTGGCATATATACAGCTGGTGTGATAGATGACAAAAATTCTTTGTCTCGCCCCTCCCCTCAAGGGGTGCAGTTCATTTCCCCACCCTCTGAATCTTCACTGCCTGCCCTTGCGACTTGCTTTGACCATGGAATGAGGTTGGAAGGACATCGTGTGGGTGTGAGCCACAGCCTCAAGAAAATTTGCTTGCTTTTGCTCACTCTCTTGGGACCCCTGCCCCTACCACCCTATGAACAAGCCTGAGTGAGTCTTTTGGAGGATAAGAGGCCACATGGAGCAAAGATGAGCCATGCACATCGGCCAGCCCCCACCAATATCGGCTGAGCCTGACCTAGATCAGCAGAGTCCAGCCCAAAGTGCAGACCAGAATCACAAGCTAAATCAGAGGTGGTTAAGCCACTAAATCTTAGAGTTGTTTGTTATGCAGCAAGAGGTAACTGATACAGAAAGCATGAATAAATGATAGGGCTCAAGGGCTCATGAAACTTCCCTTCCGTCAGGGTCTCCTTTATGGGTAGCGTTTGAAGCTAATTCTTTTTCTTTAATTTATTGCAGTAAAATTTACCATCATAACTATTTTTAAGTGTACAGTCCAGTAGTGTTAAGCACATTTACAGAGTATTCTAGGAAATATCCCTAGAATACTTCATCTTGCAAAACTGAAACTCTGTACCCATTAAACAACAGCTTCCCATCCCCTCCTCCCCAGCTCTTGGCAGTGACCCTTCTACTTTCTGTCTCTATGAATCTGACCACTCTAGGTACCTCGTACACATGAAATCATGCAGTATTTGTCTTCTCGTGACAAGCTTATTTAACTTAGTATAACATCCTCAAGGTTCATCCATGTCGGAGCACGTGTCAGAAATTCCTTCCTTTTTAAAGCTGAATGCAATTCTGTTACATGGATGCCCCACAGTTTGTTTACCTATTCATTTGTGAATGGACACTGGGGTTGCTTCCACCTTTGGGCTACTGTGAACAGTGCTGCTGTGAGGCCAATTCTTGACACTCAGTGACGGACACCTCTTAAATATGCCGGCTCAAACCCCCTTGTAAGTGGCGGGTAACCTGGCTCTGTGGACCCAGCAGCAAGCGACATCTGAGAGAAAGAGGACACTGGGGAGGGTCAGCCTGGACTTGGATGCTTTGTTTAGAGAAGAGGGAGGCCACAAACAGAACCAAGCCTGGAGATGACATTGCAGCCAAGCTTCTGCATATTTTTCACCAAACGACACAAGTTATTTGTCAGAGACTAATGGGCTCATTCCAGCTGGACTAGAAGGGCTGTCTGAGGTGGTAATAAAGAGGAAGAGATGTCAAATATTAAAAGGCAATGCATTTCAGTGGCTTTGCAGCAGAGAAGTCCATTAAATCAGAGCCCCGAGAAAGGCTGTACAGTCGAATAATTTTTTTCAGAGCTCAAGAACGAACCCAGCTAGGTGATAAATGCTCCTGATTCCAATGGTATTTATGACACATATTTGATAAAGGACTTGAAAA